ATTTTTTTTGCTTCATCTTCAAACTCAATACTTTCTTTTCTTCATCGCGGCAGATACTAAGTCTGCGCGACGGACTGAACTTCATACAGCATCTTTCTAAAACGTGCTTTAAGTTAATGCATCTTATTCGCACACACTCCATAACATATCTGGGAAAGAAATTGGCAAAAAAAACGCTCGTAACTTTTGAAGGGATGACTATAAATGTTTACCCCCGATGTTTGGGATATAAGTACGGTAAGCACCAAAAGTAGCGTATGTACTTTTCTAATGCTGAGTGTTTTCAGCTACTAATGCGTGTGTAAAGTTTAATTAATTAATTCAATTGGGTAGTTCATGTAGTAATATTTTATTTAATTCATGACTACGCCTTTAAGATATTTAGTTGTATCTGCTTTTCCTGAGGTTAGATTCTCATTGGTTCGTTTTTAGTCATGTGACAAAAACAAGGAAGTGGGTGTGTTCGAGAAATTGGAATTAGAAGGAATAAAGCGTGGTCGAAAAGTTCACCAGTCTCCTTCCTTTCGGTTCTCCTTCTGGAGAGTGATCCAGACACCATTTATTCGAACCCTCACGTTACACGTGTAACACTGTTACTGTAATATAAATACTTAAAAATTGAACTTTAACATGTAATATCTGTCCATAATATCTATATAGCCTACTGAAAAGTAAATGTGACTAGAAGGTTTTCTGAATAAAGAGCACATTTTACTGATTTTGATTAATTGTTTTTATATCCACATCTATAATATATATATATATGTATATATATATATATATACAAATAAAGTACATGTCCACGTAAAAACTTTTTTTCTTCGTCTTTTACAGGAAGGGCAAATATTCTTTGTATCGCACATTTTTTATACCAGACCACTGAAAGTGCTTTACATGCAAGATGTTGCATTAAAAAATAAGATTTAAAAAGCAAAAATTAAGATAAAGTTCAAAGCTCTTTCATCCGCTTCTGTAGGTTCCTTGTGCACACTTAGGAAAAGCTTTGAAAATCAAAGAGACTTTTTCACCCATTTTGTCTCAAATTAGCAATTTGCAGGAATGTTTTAGCCAACTACGATGCCCCACCCATCCTCGCATTCATTTGGGTATAGTGAAAAAACCTTTGTGGTAGACGTTGTCAGTGAAGAAGGAGTGAAGACAGACCTGCGAAAAATGTCAGCAATCAACAACATGGAAAGACCAAAAAAACAAAGATGAAGTCAGATGATTTCTAGGGACAGTCACATATCTTGCCAAGTATATCCCACAACAGTCAGCTCAGTCAGCACCTCTCAGGAGTCTCAAAATAATTAATCAACCTGGTACCATGAACAGGACACATATTTTTAAAGTATGGTATAGCTAAAAAAATCTGAATAACTTAAAAGTTCTTATGTAATCAGTTATGAAAACATTTTGAGTTGTTTGAACTTATTTGGGTTTACAGGGGTTATCATTCTGTAGACCTTCACACGGCTGAATGATGGTTTCATTGTCTCTATCTTAGACTGGTCGAACTGTGTGCTGCTCATCTTTTCCCTGTCCCAGTGTAATATTGTCATATAATAAAAAGACGTTGATGATTCTAAACTGAACCAAAGAGCTACTGTTGATTAGAACTTTGTGGTTATGTGACATAACATTTAGTATGTATGGAACCGCTCACAGAGGATTTATGCAAGGAAAGGTCTGGTCATTGTAACTTTTCACATGGCTAATTTAGGGTTGATGAGGTTAAAAGAACAGACTTAATTAAGAAGAAAGTCTGTTGTTTTGAATTGGTTATATGATTAACCACATTAGGGAAATTGTTTGAGGTCAATTTCAAGTAAAAATCTCATTAAAATATTACATTTCAATACTTTTGTTTCTGTACATAGCCTAATCCTCTTGGAGGGAAACTTCAGCCATGAAGTTAGTTTGCCATCTAGTTTCTATTTTCTAGAGTAGTACATCCTGGGAATCTTAAACAGGATTCAGTTAATTTTTATTCAAATACAGTATTTTGATATCATTTTAATCGGGAGTGATGAAGCAGGGAACTTCGAAAAAAATAGACAGTGCAATGTGCCTTGAGGACCATTCTAGTTTCTAAAGAATAAGACGTAATCAGGCTGATAACAGAAGTGAGGAAAAATCCTGAAACCAAGACCACAAAAACACAACTTTATTCCACAAACTTTTGCACATGTGCGGACTTAGGAGTTGACCAACAGGCTTATCAGTAGTGGGGGAAATTCTATTAAAGGTGAGTTGAATGTCAATCAGGCATGCAGGAGGTAAGGAAAGAGCCACAAAACAGGACAGTATCCCACAAACACAGGATCTTTCGTGGTCACCCAATTAATCCCTAACTACAGTATAAACTTCATAAAACTGCAGTTTGAGAAAAAAGGCTTCTATTAACAAAATAAGGTTCTATGACCTCTTTAAGAAACTGTGGAGGTTAGAGCTTAAAGCGAATTATTTCAAATTGTATTTTCAATATACCAGGAAATCAAAGAAAGGAAATTACAATTTGAGATTGATGGGCCATTTTACAAGGCACAATAATGACCAGTGACAGTAATCAAATCTCATATGCACACGATTATGTGCATATTGCCAATGTGAAGGGGTCCATTCAAGTTTAAATAACATATCTGAATCCCACAATTGAGCCAAAATATTTGAAAAACTCTGTAGATCTTCACTTTCTATAATAATTTAACTTTACATAAAAACTGGATCATTAATTCATTCCCTTGACAAACAGTCTAAACAGTGATTGCTACAAACAAAATGTGGAGAGACTGTGGGACATCATGAGATGTTCAATCTTAACTTAGTGGTTTAAAAACACTGACTAAAAAAATGTGGGTGAGAAACAACAATTTTTAAAAAGTACATAACTGACATAAATGGAACAACAGCGCCTCCGAGTGTGATCATTGGAGAATCACACGTTTGGAGAGGAATGCCCCTAGTAAACCTCCATCATCGGGTTGGTAAAAACATGGCTGATCCATTTCCATTAGATAGCTCGTTAAGCTTCTCAAATCAAGCTCCAAGTTCAACCAAAACCCAACAACTTTTCTCTAAGAACATAAAACTAAATACGCACCTCCACAGTGCCAAAGGCGCAAAGGCGTTTATGAAAAAATGGTAAGAGTTAAAGAAAACAAAAACTAAAAAACTCTTAGGCATTCGTAAATGAAAAGTTGCAATAGCTAAATAAATGCGTACATCTAAAAGAACTCAACTAAAACGTTCTCTCTGAAGCTGTAGTGTGTAATGTGTGCGTGGCAGTGGGGCCACAGAGGAGGAGTCAGCGCGCCTGATGCTGCGTCACGCGCTCGCTTTCCACCGATCCGCGCGGATGAGCGCGTTCCTCCACGTCTGAGGCAGGCTGTAATCTGAATTTAGTCAGGTGGGAAGTGTTTGGAGCTTTCTGTGTCTGTGACGGCGTGCCTGGCTCCTCCAGTTCCGCTCCTCGGTGGAATGCCCCCACGAATGCTGCTTTTCAAAGTGCGCTGCTGCTGCTGCTGCTGCTGCTGAGAGCCGAAACAGGTGTCGGGGGCACTCCAAATCCCCCCCCCCCATCCACAGTCCGCACAGGGAACATGTCCAATGGGAAAAATGCAAATGCTGCTGAAAAGTGAGTAACCAAACGCCAAAGTTTGCTTTGGAGCCTTTTCAGGAAGTGCGCTCGCACTTTGAGGGGAAATGTTTTTTTTGGGGGCATATGGCGACAAAAAACTGCGCGAGAAATAAGGATACTGAACTGTCAAGTTCGCCTGCATCGGGAAACGTCAATAAACCGCGGTTCTCTCCGTTTTTATTCGACGCTGTGACAGGTTGTTGATCATTTCTGATATTTTCTGAAACGGCGTCAGACAATAACAGCCGTGCGCCACCAGGAAGTTATGAGTGTCGGTTAAATTTGTGCAGAGTTTTCAGCGCTTTCAGATTGTTGATAACATCTTTCACTGTAGGCTACTCGATGCGTTTGGGGCCACAGAGCACACAGTAAGGCAAGGCGAGTTTATTTGTATAGCACATTTCGTGTACAAGACAATTGTACTTCACAGAGAATCAAAAAACAGATAAACAAGAAAAGAAAATAATAAAAATGAGATGAAAAGTGAATGGTGCAGACAAAATACGTTCAATTCCCATACGCACAGTTAAACAGAAGCGTTTTCAACCTGGATTTAAACACTGTCAGAGTTGAAGCCTGTCTCACATCTTCAGGAAGACTGTTCAAGATTTTAGCAGCATGGAACTGAAATGAAGCTTCACCTTGTTTAGTTCTGACTCTGGTCACCATCAGGAGACCAGAACCTGAGGATCTCAAAGTCCGAGTTGGTTCATACGGCTCTAACATGTCAGAAAGGTATTTTGGTGCTTGCCCATGAAGAGACTTAAACACAAGCAGAGCTTTTTTTAAAGTCTATTCTCTGAGTGACAGGAAGCCAGTGGAGAGACCTGAGCACTTGACTGATGTGGTTGTAGTAGACTTTCTTGCGCTCTTTCTCTTGTTAGAATTTGGCCATAATTACTCACTTTAGCATTGCATGCTGTCACATAATCTATGTAAACTACTGATTGTCTTATTCTTTTTAGAACCATACTTTTGTGTTAAATTCTCTGGCTTTAACCACAGATTGTCTTTTTCTCTTTTTCTCTCTGTTGCTGTAGACACACGTCGTTAGGTCAACACACACACACACACACAAACTTTGTTACCACATTCCAAGGTTATCTGCACTAATTAGGACCTGGCCGGTTCATGTTAGGGTTAGGGTTAGTAAGTAACAGGCCAATAAGTCGTGTCCAGTCCTTTTGAGCGGTCTGTGACCCAATAAATGTAATTTTTTATACTTTTAATCTACTCAGGTTTGTTCTCAGGTTTCCAACTAAAGAATCGGGCTAACACTCTGCTCTCATTTGTGCCACAGCTCCTCCGAGGCGACCCTCAAAGAGTGCCTGGATGAGTGCATGGAAGCCTTGGATCTCTTCCTTAACAACCACTTCAGTGAGAGCCTTGAGAGGCTGCGACCACGGTAACGCATCAATCCCGAGTCCCTCTTTGGGTCCACTGAGGGGCTCTGCACGCTCGCTTTAGCGTAATGTCAGCCTGTACTGTGTGCGCGTTTAGTTTCGGCACATTACACGGCGTTATGTTGTCAGCGTGACATCAGCCTTGTTTGGCTGATGTTCTCTGAATCAGAGCCCACGCCGAGAGGGCTTTAGGTCTCCAGGATATGAAGTGTTTGCTGAAGCTGACGCCCAAGGTCCCATTGATTCAACAGCCCACAGAACGCTGGCCCTCCAAAGCAAACACTTTGCACAGCACACGCCAGAGTGGAATACGAGATAGAAGAAATGACGAGAGGAAGATATTTACACTTATCTTCTCTCCGCAGGAAAATGCACGGATCACACAGGAGCTACCTGTGTTTGCCTAGAGTGGGAGGTGTTGACCGTGTGACTTTGCTTCCCTTCTAGAGTCCATGAGAGTATGTACCATGCTCTTATCTATGCCACAGTGCTGGAAATGCAAGCCATGATGACTTTCCAGCAAGATGACATCAGCAATGCTGGAAATACCATGAAAAGTGCCCAGGAGGTTTGCCAGAGGTCATGAGGTCTCCATATCATAATACAGTTAATAATAAGTCTCTCAAAAAATGCCTCAATTTAATATATGTGCTGATAATATACCTTTGGTCCATCAGCTAAAGAGGGGCATTTGCATTTATGGCTCTTCTATGGTCATGCTATCAATTTGGCCACATTTGCATGAGTGAAGATATCAGAAATGGGCACGTTTGATTAGATGATTATTGGTACATCATGATAAGATGTGGCAACAACAGGCAAAATTTGGAATTGGGTTGGTTTGTGTTTAAATTTTGTATGATGTTTCAGGTTTCGGCGTAAATCCGCAGGTTTGACTAACAAGTCGGGGGGAGAGTCACTGTCTGAAGGTATGAAATCCTGTAATAAGATGCACCGCTCTCATTTTAAATGAAGATTTATATAAACACACAAAAGGTTAGATATGGTCCTTCACTAACCTTTTGTTTAATGGCACCAACCAAAAAATGTGACATGAAAATATTGTTTGCATTTCCATTTGCGGCTGGCCTCACCCAACCTCACCCAACTCCTCCATGAGAACAGGGCCTTTTTTAAAAACGTGATAACAATATACATCCAATTTGTTTTTACATCTATGATGATCAAAGTTGTTAATGGGTAATACAAACAGAGGCTATATCGTTGCATAGATGTCTGTCATTGTTGTCTTGTGCTTGTGTTGCTAATCTGTCAGTTAGGACCTCATTTGTAATTTAAAAAAAAACACCTAAACTGTGTTCTGGCAAGTAGAGCCTAGTAAGGCAAAGTAGGTACTAATGAAAAAAAAAAATATATATATAATAAGAACCAAAGTCTGATGGAATTTTTTGTCTGAGCTTTCTCCGTTAAAACATCCTTGTTTTAGAAATGGTACATTTTTGTTCTTGTTGGATGCTTCTGTCACAAAATTGGTGAGACTATAGAGGATATGTCCAGCGTACTGTACAGATCTCTTATTTGTCACCAAGTCCTTTAGAGCTGTCCTACGATCCCCATGTTGAAATCGGTGCCTCATGGTTTTGTATATTTACATCCTCCTATAGGAAGGTTGCTGCATAGCCCAACTCATGTATTTCCCCTCCATTCCATCAGTTAAAAACAGCTTAGTTTTAAAATAAATAAGAAAATCACTCATAGAATAGAAAAAACACTTTAGGGAAACAAATAATTCACATTAGGATGGAAAAAATAGACATATGACATAGTTTTTAGACCAGCAGATGGTTGTGATAATAATGATAAGATATTTATGAGTGTACAGCATGGACCTTGTGGCATTATATGCTGTTACTCACCATAAAATTGAAGGCTGAAGTTGACTGAATAGCAGATATTTAATGACAAACTTTAAATAAATAAGTTACAGTGAAACAAAATAAAGAAAGTCATTTACAGAAGATGTATAATTCAGGGTAGTGAGTGACATGAATGTGTGAATCAAATATTCAGAAATTCGTCTAAGCTTTTTTTAATGTCTCCGTGAATATCGTAAGTGTTGATTTAAAATGAACGGCTGCACGATGGTGTGGTGATTCGCACTGTTGGCTCACAGCTAGTGAGTTCCCATTTGTGTGGAGTTTGCATGTTCAGGCAGATACGATTGATGGGCCTGGTCAGTTTCAGAATGTGACAGTGAGTAAACATTGAGAAATGTTAGCTTTGCCCACCGTTAAGCCCTGTGGACAGGGCCCTCCATTAAAGATTGTGTACGCAAAGATTATGCGTTTCTATATATTCAGATTGAAGCTGAGTCATTTCATGCTGTCCCGATGCTTATTTAACGCTTAGCAGTTGGCGAACAAAGACAAGTGGTACTAATCACAATCCCTGGGGGTCACCCAGGAACTATTTCACACAGACATGGTTCTCGCTGATTACACCATTTAGGTGACGCAATTTGCCCAAATGATCAGATGTCAGCACAGCCTGTGCAAGTCCAGGAAGTAAAGGATGAAAAATGTATCTGGGGCGGGAATGAAAAGAAAAGCTAGATTTTATTTATAGGCCTGACACTAAAACTCAACCAAGACAATTGTTTTGTGTTTCACACTTTAAGTGCACACATTTCATGGAGTCATTTAACTTTTGTTTCTGTTGGTGTGTTTCTTTTCCAGTGCAGCTCCATGCAGAAGTGTGTTTTGCAGAGTGCCAACTCCAAAGAGCTGCTCTCACCTTCTTACAGGTGCTCTTTGCTCATACTGTATGCTTAGACATGTGCTTAGCAATGGCCCAGTTAGATATTCCCCAACCATTTTTTCCCACTCTGTGCAAACAGGGGAAAACATCTGGAATGGTATGGGAGTTATCCTAAATGTTGACTTACTGAGCTGCAAATGATTCAGATTTAATTCCTGCAACTCAAATCCTGATGCCTGCCATGAATGATAGCTCAGGTGCAGCTTTATCACACTGAACTTGTTTTTCAGGATGAGAGCATGGTGAGTTTCATCAAAGGAGGGATCAAAGTACGAAACAGTTACTTGATTTACAAGTAAGTAGTTCATGTGGGGAAAAAAGAAAGCTGATTGTATATTGAGTGCATGTGAGCGGGGGAAAGGTTTGACATTTTGGTGAATATATACAGGGGAGGGAAAAGGATCAACTGACTAAATAACATGGCGGTGGAGAGCTGATGATTTGCATTCGTTTTAAAGTCATGTCACTTGTACACGTCATTGTCATTAAGTCCATCACAAACTCCTTTGGTATACAAAAGTTTTCCACAGCCAGATATGAGACTTACTGCCTTACGACTAAAGCTAACTGGGTCATCTGCAGAACATTCATTTAAAACTCGGCAGCAAATCTTCAACTGACTGTGTGGGAAAAAAACTAAAACAATCAAAGAATCAAGATGGTCCAGTCAAGGTCCAGACATCAGCCTGATAATGTCATGAATAAAAACTTCAAGTTGTTGTTGCTATAGATAGTTTGTCAAATTGTGCAAAAGAGTTTTTTCATATTATCTGCGAATTTGGTCTTAGTTTTTTAGTAAACAGATGATGACACCCTGAAAATGTTTTGTTCGTCGAGAAGCTGCATTGAGCTTTTTTTTTTTTTATTTGAATCATATTATAGTTAGGGCTGTATGATGCTGTTGTAATGTACTCATGGGCCTCTGAGAGTAGGGGGGCTCAGTTGTGTCGCCGAAAAGCTACACAACAATCTGCACATGCAGCAGATTGTTATTGATAATAAAATGGTGGAAGTATCTTTTTCCTGTTTTTGTTTTTGCTAGGGCCCATTTAACCAACTCTAAAAATGTCACTCCTCTCTTTTTTGTGTTCTAGAGATTTGCATTCCTTGATAAAATCTCACAACTGTCTCAAAGGGGAGAGCCACACTCATTTAGAGGGAGGTATATCATTTGGAGTGGGGGCGTTTAACTTGGTATGTCTCACAGTACATTTAAACATATGCACTTATTGACCAAATCTCTCTCTCTTTATATATCCTCCTGAGTCTCAAGCTTTTATTTGTTATTGTTATTGTTATTCATTTTAGCTTTTTCTGAGATATATGGGATTAGTAGGACCTAACAAGTTGAATAACTAGACGTTGTCATTGTACAGGTAGTTGTATTTAAAATGTGTATTTTTGCATTTAAAGGTTTACCCTGAAATTCGGTTCTGAAAGTCCAACTGACTTAATTACAAAATTTTGATTACACACTAAGGACATGATTGGCTAAAATTGCATGAAACCATTTTATTATAGATGTCAAACAGTAGTGTCTGACCGCATCTGCTTTGAGGCTAAGAGGTCAAAGGTGACCCAAAATAAGGCAAAAATGGAATGTCCTCATATGGGGACGCTGGGACTCGGGAGGATAGTTATAATTATTTGTTTGTGAAATACAAGTTAAAGTCTCTTGTTTGCTTTCAGACACTATCTCTGTTCCCCCCACGCATACTTAAAGTGTTGGAGTTTGCAGGATTCTCTGGAGACAAGGTACGGCACACGGACATTTCCCACTTTGGGATTTTCCTCATTAACTGACAGCCCCATCCATGTTTTCTTTGTGTCTTAGGAATATGGGCTTTCTCTTCTGTGTGACGGCGCGATGGGGATGAACTTGCGCTCCATGCTGTGTGCTCTGCTGCTGCTGTGCTACCACACCTTCCTCACATTCGTACTCGGTAGGGTTCCAATCGGCTTTAGATGGTTCCGAACGAGTCCGTAGTTGTCTCTGAACCTCACACTGGAATCCCTTTTCTTCTCTCTCCTCTTAGGTACAGGCGAGGTTGACGTGGCTGAGGCTGAAAGACTCTTAAAACCTTTCCTGCTCCGCTACCCACAGGTGAGTAGCAATAAGAATGATGAATCTGATATATAAGAGTAAGGCCTCCTCTTTTTTTGTAAATGTTGCCTCACAGGATAAAAGCACTCTATCGTGTAAGTGTGCACATACCGTGCGGTTGGTTATCATGTAACACCATGATTGTTATGACAATCATCTGTAATATATGTGTCATAATAGGCTCAATAGAGTGACAGATATCAAAGCAAACAGTTTTTATGCTTCGGTTGCATGACTTGTATTGGTTTTTTAGGTAAAAGTCTCAAACTTGGCACTGTCCAGCCAGTAACAACTAATGTTCCCTATTGTGAGGAGCTTTATGAAATATTCTTGATTAAAGCTGGTGCGTGTTGTCAATGTTTAGCTCCTTTGTCTGCTGGTTGTAGTAATCAGTGTTTAGTATAACAAGAATATGCAGATTGATGCTGTTCAAAATACAGAATTTATCCCCAAGTGTGGAAATATTTTGCAGCATTAAGGATGCATAGTTATTGCTGTGAGCGGGAATAGCCTTGTGTCCCTTTCTTTATTGCTGTGGAGCTGAGGAAGCCTCTGACTGAACACATATGGTTGTTTGATCACAGCGTTGTGTGTTGACCAGCATTTGCGTGTCGCCTTTGTTTAATCAGGTCTCCACACCGTTCTCTTTATCAATTTGCTCAATATTCATACATGGCTGACTCCGATGGTGCTGCACCAACAAATGGCTGCATGGAAGATTGCGATGTCATAATATTTAACCATGAGTGATTCACAGTAGGATAACGTTGAACTCGGGAGATCCCAAGATCACCTTCAACATATAAACCATTTACTTATGAGTGGTGTTGTGTTAATATTATAATGGTGGTAGTTTTCTGTGCAATTTGCAGTTTATTAATGTACTATATTGTGAAAAGAAACTGTTTGTCTTGTACTTGTGTGAAAACAATTTGCATGTCAACTTGCAGTTCTTGGAACCCAATGTAACCCCAGGCAATTATACAGTATTCTAACAGGAGGCGTGCTACTTAGTAGTGACCATGTCCCAGTTTAAATTTCTCATTTTCTTTAGAATTCCTTCAGAGGTGTTGATAGATTTTTCATGAATTACTTTAAGTGTTGAGTTAGTAGAATTTGGCTAAACATTTTGAAACTTTGATAAAGTGTGGACTTCTCATCACTCTCCAGGTCTGTCCTCTCTTCTTTTCACCTAAAAAGCTTGAGATTATTGTCTCAGAAACTTTGTCATCTAGCCTATCAAATTAATTCCAACAGTAGCTGCTTTTAGCCGATTTTCTCTTTATACCTTAGAATACTCTTTTAACTTAGCAGCCCTCGTCTATACCATCACTTCCACACCTCCAACTGACTCACATTCCTGTAAATTCACAATCTTTTCCTACTCCACCTTTTAAACACTTGCCAGCCCATCCCAGAGTGCAAACCTACAGCTCAGATAAACTGTGTACCGAAGTAAAAAAAAGGAAATAGTCTCGGCAAGAATGACTGTGATATCCGTTTAGAGAGCACACTGGTGGGCCCAATGTTTTATTCATTCAATTTGTTTTCCTCTAGGGCGCAATATTCCTCTTCTTTGCTGGCAGAACCGAGGAGATCAAAGGAAACATTGATGAGGTGGGTTTTTTACAGACACGTGAGCGTATTGGATTGCACCATCCTTGGGTTGGATGTTGCATGACATGTTAACCACAACACCACAAGACTACCATGGCTACGAGTGTTGAGTTGAGGCTGTACTTCAGCATAAGTCATGTTTATGGCGGAACACCACGGTTCTCGTCATCCTTCCCTCGCTCTTCCAGGCGGTGGCGCTCTTTGAGGATGGCTGCAAGGCCCAGCAGACCTGGAAGCAGTTTCACCACATGTGCTACTGGGAGCTGATGTGGTGCTTCACCTATAAGCGGGCGTGGAAGATGGCGTACTTCTATGCAGACCTGTTGAGCCAGGAGAGTCGCTGGTCCAAGGTACCCCTTCACCAGATCAGCTTTATTTTTGAACAATTAAAAAAAAAAAAATAATAATAATAATTTGTGAAATGCATGTTTTGTTTCTTTTTCTCTCAGGCCATGTATGTGTACATGAAAGCCGCCTATCTCAGCATGTTACCTGAGGATGAGTCCAGGCCATTTGGGGAGGATGAGGTGGAGCTCTTCAGGTAAATGTTCATAATGGTTCTTGGCTTGATGATCCACTTGCTAACTTTACCAGTTTTTCCCAGCATGTATGCTGACATAGATATAGGCCGACTTGTACAGAAACAAACAAAGAAAAAAACACCATTTTAACTTTTTAAAATGGTATTCTAGGCTTCTGGATTTGGGTAAAAGAAACATTTGTTTCTTGCCTCCACATCAATTTTTGATGATGGAAATTTCAGACTTTAATAAATAGGAGTGTTTGTTTGAGCTAACACATGTACAACACAATTAAGTTCTACAATTCTTCACCAATTCTTCACCTATGAGACTTGGCAGGAAATGTATTGAATAACTGAATTTGCAAACACATGCAGAGCTACCCAATGCATGACCTACCCAAAACAGACAGCGAAACAGTTCTGCCTTGTGCATTCTACCCTCTGGCTACACTTGTCACAGTTTGAAATAAGATGTGAGGTAAACATGCCCGAACATTTGAGTTATGTTGTGTAAATGGGCCATCTTTGCCTTCTTATTCACTCCTGTTATGCACTTGGTGAACAAAGCTCCACAGTTTGTTTGTTTACAATAAACTAAATCCATTTTTGAGCTGGTTATAACTTACTTTATACAATAAAAGAAAATAACTGATAATTGTGGGATTGGTGAGTGTACTTCCTGTTTGGACCGTATCTCTTTTACTTTGTTTTTATTCACCTTTTTTTTTTAAAACTTAATTTGGTGTAAATTCTTGTGCATTTAAAAAGGATATAGTAATGTTCATTTTAGTGTGAATGCACATGGGCTTTACATTGAAGATATTAACTTAGTAACCTTAGCTCTTGCATTTCTTCATCAGAACGTTTTTCAAACCGAGAGCCCTATGACAACTTTTTGTGTACAAAACATCCATTTGATTTGGATGTGAGGTTGGTTTTGATATATTTGCCTGAACTCCAGTAGTTAAAAATGCATTGCTAGTAAAACCATTTTTTTTTTCCCATGCTCAGTAATAAAGAAGCGGGTCTGGAATAAGGCCAAGTTAATTCAAAGTAATCATTAGTCAAAACTAGAGTTCTCAAAATAGAAAGCATAAAAAAGACTAAGCTATTCTGAGGACTTTCTCTTTGAAATGTAATGGAAAAAACACCAGAAAAACAAATTATGTAAATAATAATGAAAGCTCTTTAATACATTGCATGGTTCTTTAAGAAAACTAAGTAATAGCTTATTGAGAAGAGTAGATGGGATCTGAAAAGGGCTGCTCATAATGACAAACCAAAAGAGACATTTCCTTCCTCATTTTCAGCTGCAGCCTTCAGAAAAACACTGATAAGCACACTGCTAATGGAATTTGCGCCTGTGCGCGTACGCTAATTTTTGCATCCTTTTCTCTTTAGACGAGTGCCCACACTCAAGCAGAAGATAGCCGGGAAGTCTCCTCCTACAGAGAAGTTTGCTATTCGCAAAGCCAGGCGCTACAAGGCTTTCCGCCCAGTCAGGCTACCGGTGCCTGTGCTGGTAAAGCTCTCACAAGTGCACTTTTGAAATCATGTTTGGCTCTCTAAACCTTTCCTACAGCATCACATTACGCTTCATTATAGGAGATGATGTACATGTGGAACGGTTTCAGCATGATCCGCAAACGGCCGGAGCTGACCGAAGGCATGTTGCAGACTTTGGTGGAAGCAGAGCGCACTCTGCTGGAGGCACCTGGTAACGTAGCTCGTTCCAAGTCACCGTGTCAGTCAGAAGCAAGTTTATCCTCATGAACAATGTGTCAGGTTACCCTTTTTTATATTTCAAATGAGCCATACTTTTAAAAAATCATATTTTCTATTTTTGTCGTGTTACCATTTTCGGCTTTCTCACTCGTAACATTGTTTTGCTTGTAAAAAAACTTGAAACTGAGCGAGAAATCACTCAAGCATGTAACGAACACAACAACAAAGGGTCCAAGCTTGTCACAAAGTTGCACAATATTATCCCACTTCTGTCATTTCTTCTATGAAAAATGGTAAATATAACACTTAGAAGGGCAGAAAATAATAGCTTTACAACAGCAAAGTTACCCCCAAAGAACTAATAACCTGTGCAATGTGTTTAAGATATTTGAGATATCTATATGTGGAGGACCAAAGGTTTGAGAAAAATAGAAATGAAGTTTTTTGTCATAATGTTCTTTCCCCACTTTTGCAGAAAACGAGTATACGCTGGATGACCGCTGCTTGATCCACATGTTGAAGGGCTTGTGTTTTAAAAACCAAGGTCTCCTCCAGGCCGCCGAGGAATGCTTTAACAAAGTGTGTTCAAGGTGAGCTCCACTGAATTTAGTAGCATTTTTGGTAATTAGAAAAGTCAGTTTTGTCAAATTGCACTCCACTGCTCCACCTCTTAACCATGAAATACTGTCGACTCAGTGTGAATATTGGTGTCACGGTCAATGATCACTCTCTGGTGAAACTGCTGAAACTTCTCTTTGGAATCTTATGATCATACTATATGCCTGGGAAAGCAAGTGGCGAAACATAGCTCCTTAAGAGAGGTGTACAAGACAAACATTAACGAAACCTGTAGCTTTAACTTTACGCTTTCTGTGTGCTCAGTGAAAAGAAGATCAGGTTCGACCACTACCTGGTGCCAAACTCTCTGGTGGAGCTCAGCCTGCTCTACATAGACCACGGCAGAAGAGACGAGGCTATTAAAATACTGCATAAGGCCAAGTAAGTACCGCTTCTTTTTTTGAGGGAAAATTAACTTATTTCTGCTTTGAAAGTCTTTGCTCGCTTGTTGAATGCTCGCATAGGTTAGATTTACACACCTTAACAACAATCACTAGACATCAGCCCCATTAAACACCAGCTCCTTCATATCAAACTGAAAATAACAAACCCAAAATCAGCCATAAAAGTGTGGCACAATGTGTTTTCATTGTGCAATATGCGTATCTTTTGCATGCACCGCAGTGTGAATGTGCTATATGTGTATTTATTGTATTTACTGTTACGCAAATGTTCAACTTCTGCTCTTTTTTTGAACCACGATGACTCGGCACATGTATTCCCAGGCAAATTGAACCAAATGGGACAGTAAAGTCTTTCAATCATTCGAGCCTCTGAAGTGGCAACTTGTGTTTGACGAAGGTGTCTTGCGGTATGCATTTATGTAAGCTTGTGAGGGAAAACGCAATCTAATCTAAGAACTCATACTTCTTGTAGTGGAATGTCCGTACCTTGTCTGATTTGGGGCTGTAGAATGAGACGTCCAAAGAGCAAGAGAAACTTAAAGGTCTATTATCGGGTGGCTTTTGTCATTTAGAAAAGTTACTAATTAAATGGACGATTGCTGTTCAAGGAGATGAAATTGTAACATTAGATTATATGTAAAGCAAGGCCCGGCACATTGTGTTGAAACCGGCACACCTTTAAAACCCTCAGGTCCATTAGGACTGAAGTTTGACACCCCTGGAACCTGTACAAAACTGTCTAAATCGCTGTGCAGACTGTTTTCTGACCATCGCTATTGTTTTAACCCGCAGGCACAACTACAAAGAGTATTCCATGGAGTCTCGCACACAGTTCAGAATACACGCGGCCCTGGCCAAGCTCAAAGCCGACCCAGGCGAAGAGGACACCCACCTGTGAGGGACTACGCCCCTCACAGTGGCCTCGGGACGGTTAAGGCCCTTATGACTGAACATCTGCTTTTAAAACTCGGGAACCTTTTCCGACAACAGGACCGGCGGGACCTTTTGAAGTTTTCCTCATTCCTGTGCATAACCAGACCCAAGTGTGACACATCTAATTGTACATACGGATGTTAGTTAATGTAACAAATGTTTTGTTTACATTTATAAGACACTAAAATCTGAACTGATTGAATTTACCCAGAAATGTATAATAATAAATTAATCCTATTGGTAACCCTAATTGGCTCAACATACTGTATAAAAACACTTTGCATCCCTGTAAGTATGCTGTGCCAGTGTCATTGTGTGGAACTATTTTTCTCTACATTACCATGGTACAGACACAGAAAAGACTGTGTTTATTGCTCTTCTTTCACCTCCATGGTGCTGTTTTCAATTAGAGCTTCCTAAAAAAAAAAAATCTGAAAACTATTTTCAAATGAATAAACCGCTTTTATGAGGCCCTTTGTTTTCTGGTTGAAATTTTTGCTCTGCAATTCATAGTATGCAGTTGATATTCTTCCTTTGTCCATCAGATAATCTCAATAATTTCAGTTTATTTGAAAGAGGCTGTGTACATTTGGGACAATATACAGCAGTATATACAGCAGTAGCATTTGGGGTAGGTAAAAGAGCCTTTTTGAAAAAATGGTTTTCTTTAATCAGGTCATTTTGGAATCCTCCTGAGACTATGAAAAAGGAGCCAGAAACCCAGTTAAACTTCAGTATTCGTAAAGACAGACAAAAGCGACACTTGACACTAAAGTGACAGTTTAATAGACACATCGAATGGAAAAATAAAGCAGTCAATGCAACAGACCTGCAATAAATCCCCCTTTCTGACTGTTAGATGTTGCATTTCACTCTGGTTTACCATGTTTGTCATGGATTTAGTTTAGAGTGTAAGTAAGAGTTTTTCAGATATTTACCTCTTCCTTACTGAACAGATTGAAGGTATAAAAGTGCATGTTAATGGTACACAGTGCCACCAACTGAAACTTCCAAAAATGAAGGTCAAGCACACATGAGCTTTAAAAGCTTCAAGATGTGAGAATGATGGCAGGACTGCAGCAGAACACCACACAAATCCGCGATGTGTCTACGAGTCCTGGGCTACGACGAAGTAGCAGTAGATGACTGCTCCTCCCTCATTCTGCGTTTCAGCAGTTTCTTTTTCTTCTTCTCCTCTTTCTCTATTTCTGCGACCATTTCGAGGAACTTGGGGCTGCGGGGGTCCACGGTGTAACCGAAGCGCTCTCTGGCCTCGGCGAGCAGCCGAGTCCGGCGGGCCTTCTCGTCCTTCGCCTTCTGCTTGGCCTCTCGCTTTTCTCTGCGCCAGTCGGCAACCATCTTGGGCATTTTGGCCATGTTTGCCGCAATGATATTCTCCCTAAAATTGAAACAGAAAAGATGAAGAGAGGATTATATTTTTTATCACCATAAATTGGCTTTTAAAGGCAGAAAAGAGCCACTTAATTGCTATTTTGAATTAAATATCCCTTTTCAAGGAGATCTAAATAAAAAACAGGTTGAATCTAAATCATATCATGCCACATCTATTATTTAAGACATGGTTAGTGGGACCTTTATTGTAATTGAAAATACACAACATGAACCCTGAAAAAAAATGTAGTGGGTATCCTCAAGTTCAGTTACAAAAACACTGGAGGACTAGCAAGAGTGCTATACAACCTAATCATTTCTGTGGTGGTGGATTTGGGTTCTGCCCCATCACAAATAATACCTTTCCGTGTAAAGACTCCCATCTCAAAGTTTGTAAAACCGTGAATATAAGACTAAAATAGGTTCATTATAGACAGAAAATAATGTAACCAATCATTTCAGCATTCAGTGTTCGTTTTGTTTCGTTCAGAATAACGGTGACATTAAACTGTTGCAAAACGTTTTTGTACAATATGTGACTCGACTATAACTTATTAAAATGGCAAAAGTACTGTTACAATCACATTAAATATCGCGACATTTAATGAGATAGTAAAACTATAATGACCAAAACAGTGGCGTTATGGGGGTAGCCTCACTTACTTTGCCAGACGTTTTTCGGTTTCCGCTTTCTCTCTGGCTTCAATATTCTTCAGCATTATCCCTAATGGGGGGTGCCATTCTTTTTCTTCTGCAATTTTTTTATCCAGTTCTTCATGACTCGGCCACAAAGAGGCTGCGTCAACGCCCGACAGCGAGCCATATCGACCGAAAAGCTTTCTGTCGTGTCGGGCTGTCTTCTGCCACTCGGGCGTCTTCTCGCTGTCCTTGTCCGGAATATAAGGGTTACGGATGTTCAGCTTTAACGGTTTCGGGTTGTAGGATGCTACCTGCAATAAAGAACCACATTGGGAGTTCACACACAGTATAACTTTTGCAGAGGAAATTTCTTTCAAAGTCCTACATAACGCGGCTGTCCTCTTGCAAAGCATAGAAGCCGCCATCTTTAAACAGGAAAGACCCGGATGTTATTTATTTTTTCTCGCTTGCATAAATCGGTGTTAGTGTTTACTCCCCTCTACTGGACTGGAGTGTGAAGGTAGCTTATTATGGAAATCGCAAATAAATAAATAAATACATTTTAATTCATTAATGAATTTTAGTCAAACCAGTAATTACTTTTTGTAATTCAAGGCTTATGTGATATTCTTTTTTTTCAAAAGGAGTTTTCCACTTGTAGGAGCTCTGAATATGCTTCAGACCTTATTTGGGGATAAAAAGTAAAATAAAAAATTTATTTACAAAAGCCAAAACCCAGAGTGTCTTTTAAATGGCTATTCATGATTAGCCAGAAAACTCTCATATACATGTGTATGACCACATTATCAAAACACTCACAAAAGTTGACAGATTCTTTGTTTTTTAGGGTTTGCAAAACCAGTATATATTTATCTCCTGTTAGATCCCTCAAGGCCTTCATGAAGTGACCCCCACCTGCCTATCCTCCACCTTTTGCTTTTGAATATAAAACACAATTCAGAGTTTTCAGAAACTTTCAGTACACCGACCAACTCAACTCCAAAATAGCTTTTAGCAGGGGATCGGAGACGTTTCTAACATATTTAAGCATTTAGGGACAGCTATGCACAGAAATAAACCGCTGACAAAAAGGTTTTCCTTTTACAACTTGCCTACCTCCTACCTCCCTTTGACTTCTATATTTGATTTCTTTTCCCAAAGTTTGGAGAGAACAAATGGGGGTGCTCTGGAGGGCAGCACTTACAGAGACAGATGTCATTGCTTTTGTACCATGGGAGCGCGCAGAGCTCTCCATCGTCATTAAAGATTTAGGGTTCCCATGGCAGGGTAGCGCTAGACTGAAGGTGGGGGTGGGCATGACAGAGGCTTAATTTAGCTTAGGAGCGATCTAGTGCCAAGTCCAGGGCTTTAGGGATCACATCAACGTCAGTCACAGGCAAATAGGCTTGTTAACAGTTAGACGATAACAGGATGGTGGCAACATGACAGGTCTATTTCTGAGTGTGTGCTTGAGTAGGAGGGATGGGTACTATGCTGATATGTTCAAAGAAGTCATAGTGAACATAGTTAGCTGAAATGTGTCTTGATTATCTCTCGCAATGCAAATCTGTACATGCCGCTGGATTGAATTTGTCGCTAGAAAGGTATTTATATCAGTGTAACAGTTACGCATATGCGTTCTTCTCAAGCTTAGATTACAGGAGTTGTACTTTACTTTCTGTGGCCTTTGCTTCTTTGTACCCATTTAATCCTTCTTTCACAGTTAGCAATTGGTGCCAAGTGGAGAAGTTTTCAAAGCAGCCAGACCGGACGCCAGAACTGTTACATAGAACTTCACCTTTTGTCATACCACACAAACCCTGGCCCCTACCTCACACCAGGATAAATAAGAAGACAAACAGCAACACCTGTTTACCAAATATATTATGTATTCTTTTTAACCTGCTCAATATAATGGGCATCACTGTTCACCTTTGCACAACATCCTTTAGGGTATTCAGTCAAATGCTCCTTTAGGGTGAAGTACAACAAACGGTAAAAACATTTTAGTAAAAAAATCTAATTAAATGTATTTTTCTCCATTCAAATGACTTCACAAATGTCATATGTCGGGTAAAATTCAGTCAATTCTATGGAAAATATCTAATATTCTTTCTTTTTTATGATCATTCTTTGATGGAGATTTTATTGTTCATGGATTTTTTAATTTGAGTCATAGAATGTTCTGGGCAGACAGTAATAGACTAACAGCTTTTTGAATTTTACGTACAGCTTTAATGTTTAATTTTTTAGTTATTAGGAAATCTTTTATTGGGATTTTTTTTGTTTCTCATCACACTCTGAAGCCACAAAAACTAAAATGGTTGTCACATCTATTTACTTCAAAAGTAAGGACGACCCCAGGTTCTTGATATTAGAGGTGTAGTTGTCATGTTCTTTCTGTAACTCCAAAAAGGAATGAACATAACTACTGGTATGTGGAGGTGTTTCTACATGCACCATGTAACTGATCTGTTTTAGTATATATCACCATTTAATTTTAATATATAATGGTTAGGTACATCACATTTATGTGTTCAGAGAATGAAATGTGTGTGATCAAATATGTTTGAGGAAAATAATAGCTTTTACAGTTCTTTATATTTCTCACATGAGTAAACACACACAAGTTCAGCCCTTGACAATTTTGGGATTTGCCCTTCCTTTGAAGCAATTTGTCAAGCCAAAATTGCAATTTGTTGACACTAAGAAGAAATCATATTAAATTGACTCTAAATGAGCCACTCTTTTGTTGGCCTCGCACAACGCTGGGGTTTTACTCAGATTTTTTGGCAACAAAAAATCCCATGCTTCCAGAACAAGAGATGAGGAGGAAATCCAAATAAAAGAGAGTGCAGCCTTAAAAAATCTCCATTTCCTGGATACCATAGTATAATGTGGCTGTACAGTAGAGGCAGCAGGAGGGCTGGAGGGCTGGAGGGCTGGAGGGAGTTGGCCGAGTCCCTGCAGAGCTGGTGATAAATTGCAGCTTTCTGGAGGAACATCGCACGGAAATTAATAATCTTAAAAGTAACTAATGTTGTCCTTAGCAACAGAGATATTAATTGCCCACTGACAACTTAAACCTCACCTCAAACATTTGGAATCTGCACATCTGTATTCCATTACTAATTTCCAAAACAAATTTTTTTTCAACCTAAACCATTGTGCTCGATACAAAGCATTGTTTTGTGTTTTTTAAAGCTTACGGCACGGCTGTGCTCTCTCTTGCAGCTCCCTGCATGCTGCTTTTTAAACACTCAAACCGCCCCCCACTGATGTTGAACTTGGACTTTGCCCAATTAAGATCTGCCAGCGTAAGCGATCCTGTAAAGGATGCTGGGGTGGTATAAGTGGAATGATGTGTGCATTAAGGAAGGTGTAAGGCAGAGGAAGCTGGAAAGCTTTCAGCAGGGACCAGTTTTTTTTCTTTTTTGGGGTGGAAATGTAATGGATGTACCTTGTATCCATTTGGAGGGGGGTGGTCAGTATTAACCCCTAACCCTAACCCACAATGAGACTGTGAAAAAATGCAGGGGGTGTTGTGACAGTGGCTTTCTAAGAGATTTATCCACCTGAGCTTAGAGGTGATCGAGAGACAAGGGTAGTGAACCGGTTTAACCACCAGAGAGCTTGAATTTCTGCTCACTTTGCAGCAAAGAGCGCAGCACAAATGGCAAGCAGGGACTCCCTCGACTGCCATTTGCTTCTCCTGTCACATCTTGACTGAAACGTTTAAACAAAATTATCTTGCATCACAAATCTTTATATCTCACGCTCACGTAAACACCTGAGGAGAAAAAAGACCCCTATAAACATATACACACACTGGGTTTACATAAGCTTTTGGCATTGGTTCCAGGTCCTTAATGGCACCAGATTCCCGGGGTGGTAAACAACTGTGCCATTCTCTGCCCGTGATGCATTAAGATTTTCCTTTTAACGAATGATGAAATAGCCTCAGGGAAATAAACAGATTGGGCTTCATGAAAAATGTGTGTGTGTGTCGGATTTGACAAATTTGTAAACAGCAATGATAACATCCCAGAAATGTTCAGCGATGTTGAAGCCTATTTTACCTCGTCTTCTTCTTATTGGGAGTCCTCGGGCCTTTCCAGCTCAGCCCAGGGTCCTAATGAGATGATGAATGGGACCATACGGAGTGATGGAGGCTCTCAATCCACTGGTGACTGCTAATTTAAGGGGAGATTCATCAAACCTGTGCCTGCACTCAGATGCACCCTCATAAAACAGTGCCGGGGTCCAGTGAAGATGAATGGAGGTAATTATCAACTCTACCTGTTCATGTCCCTTTGTGTGGCTTCATGGGGTTTCCAGGGCTTCTAATCTGTCTGCGTGAAAAACAGATGTTTAAATCAACTTCCCCCCTTTTTATAGCTGGATCTCAATCGAGTCTGAAGTGTGATTATCTCGCATTAGACGGCAGCGCCGTTGAACACGTCTGACACGCGAGCGCCACGCCGAATGCCCATCATTCTGCACAGTGGCAGCAAATCACCCAGTCTCTAAGCTGTCTCCACTGATACGGTCAGGCAGCGAGAGTCACTGCGAAACAACAAGGCTAATGTCATTCATTTCCATAGTTCTCCAATAAGCGCCAAACTCCCTGCCAAATAACCACGGCGCTGACCCATAGTGCAGCTGTTCGGTGGTGGGACACTGATGTCTTTTTCAGGGGCCTCTACTTCTGTTTGCAGAAGAGTGAAGGATGGACCATCACGGTACTTCCTCATCAGAGACTTGCGGGCCTACAAAAACCAAGCTGAGCATAGAGTCTGTTGCAATTTAGTGCACCGGGCTAAAGCATGACTTCTTTTCCCCCTAAAACTAAACCCAAGAGCTACAGCAGCTGAGTAAATAAATATTTGTCAGCTGCTAAAATGTAGCATGCTGGGCTTACGTGATTCCATGCCAAACACTGTAGGTTCTTTGGGTACATTTGTGAAGTAGCCTGCCCACTATGCTAGCATGTAATATTAGTCAAAAAGGGATAAAGTGCTGGTATAAAATCTTGGCACCCCTGAATTTCATTTTGCAAAGTACCTTAAGAGGACATCCGTAATAGTGCCTGAATTAATATTTGGCGCAAATGATTTTTGGCCCCAGAGCCAACTTTTCTGCATTTCATTGGGATTTCTAGAAGCTTCTCACATTCACAGGTTTCTGCTGTTCATCTAGCTATGTGTATAGGTTGTATAAAGTATACAAAAGCTGGCATTGGTAACGTTGGGTTGCCAATGCCAGCAGTTAGGGCAACTGCATACAGATTGTAAATATTTAGTCATTAAAGGGGAGTCTCACATTGTAAAAAGAAGGTATTATGACCGGAAATGATTGTTTTTCTAACCAAAATTAGATCAATCATAGTGAAAATGTTGGTGAATCCAACCAGAAGGTGGCACCTTTTTTTTTTACCATGTGTTACGTGCAACCAAAGCTGCTATTAGAATTAAGTCCATTAGTTCAGTTGTGACATTATCCCATATAAATCACTCACATGGGTCCCACAAGGAGGGAAAAATGAAAAATATCTACTTTCAGCCAACATTGCCGGGATACAATCCCCACATTGAAACGGCGGCTAAAATGCCCACTGTGCACGTCATCATTCATCAGGGAAAAAAACAAAAGGCCATGTCATAAGAACGACAAACATGCCAACAGTAAATAGCTACTTGAGAAATCCTTATATATGAAGGGGTACCTGATGGAACTGACCTTTGACCACCGAGTCACTGCACACTCGAATCCCCATCAAGACATCGTCACACAGGTAACGGCGGTCCACTCGTTTTGGAGATTTTGGGGACGGGATACTTGGTGGTACAGAGAGGAAGTACAGAACGGGAGGAGGGGGTTGTTTGTGGCCCCAGCCTGGCGCAGACATCGTTCCCCGTTGCTCCCTTAGCTGCGCCGGCACCATCTGTCATCTGCGTGAACATCTGCAAACCCAAGGTGCCCTTGTCACCCAATGTTAGAGCAGTATGTTTGGCTTTTCCATTAAGGGAACCTGGAGTGATTCGGCTGAACAAAACCTATTAGACTGGACGGCGTGGCGGCGAATCAGCTGGGTTGCTGAGGCACATTAAATAGTGGGATTCCTCCTCCAGGCGACGCCGCCTGCCTGTCTAGCATGTCTGGCTAGCATGACATCTCATCTACTAACTGCCTGACAATTTGGCCTGAGTCTGCTTTTTCTTTACGATCATTGGCTCCTCCGCATTTCTTCTTCTGTCTGCCTGGTTCTACCACAAAACAGATGGCCCGGGCCCATCCCTCCTTTCTTTGTAATCTTAGTTCTCTCTTTGCGCTCGAGTTTACGACCAAAATTCAAACGGCATTCGCGTCAGACTCCGGGAGATTTGAACGGCGGCACCACGTTGTGTTCCTTTTGCGGAGCGCAATTTGTCGTTAAGTCTGAATAAAAAAACGAACAAACACAGATGGGGAGAGATTTGACTATCTAGAGCGCGCAGTGGATGCTGCGCGTTTGATTCAACTGGAAATATTTCCACACACGCTGAGAACCCCGCAGCAGATGGACCGCTTTGCCAAATCTGGACAGTCTTTTGTTCACCGCAGCCGATCTCTAGAGACCGTAGTTGTCCACTGCATATGGAGCTGAGCTGGATTACAGAAACAAGATCACAACAATATGCTCATTGTCCACTATGCAGGGATATAATCTCAAGGATTACTCTCATGTGGAATGGGCCACGGCCTCTCTGGATGATTGCGAGTGATACGGGAGGTTTTCCACAAGCCTTGACTGTAGGCAACCCCCTCCCTACTTCCTCTCTCCTCTGATTCCAACTGAATTTTATATGAATTGTCCTCATCTTTGTTTCCTGCACTCGAAGCTGGAGGCGCCAGTGGGTGAAAACAGCCCCCACAGCTGCCTCTCCAAAAGAAATGGGCAAGCATACGCACACGCACACAGCGAGCTCACTGCCATCTGCTGCACCGGGCGAGCGTGGATGCTGCCGTCGAGTTGGTTGTGAATTCGAAACAGCAGCTGAGAGGACACGCTGTGGCCTGACCACACAGAGTGGCACCGCTGCCGCCTGGCACAACGGCCTCCATCTGACACACTAATGAATTTGCACAACCCCACACACTTGCAAGCCAAAATCAAGGACAGGATTGAAATGTGACAGTGAAATCCCAGTTTTTCGCAAAGACCTCGACTCAAAAAGAATCTCTGACTTGTTGCCCGTAAGGGTCTATATGTAGCCCACATTTCTGCCCCACAGCATCATAAAAATGTTTTTTTTAAAAGGTCTATTAAAACTGATCTTCTCTTTTCGTGGATAAGCTGTATATCTTACATGGCTCTTTTCTAAAAATCAACAAAAAAAGGACACATAAATAACACGCCAATAGGGAATTATGTAACAAACAGGCTCAGACACAAACAAAAACCCAGAGAGGCCGACATTCAGTAGCAGCCACAAAAGTGCCTGCTGGAGAGGGCTGCCTTTGAAAAGAGCACCTGCTTGCAAAAGGAGCCCCAAAAACAAAAACTCTGGGCACATCAATCCCTTTCCAACACCAACAGTAACCGAGTTCCTTGTGAGCAAGTTAGTGTTCATGCTCAGCGCTCCCGGCCAGGCCACTTGCAATTAGTCACCTGGCTTGTTTACTTTTCTTCCCACTCATTTAGAACTCACCTTTGTCCTAATGGGCTGTTTAATAGCGAAGAAACCTGCAGGTTAGAGCCCCACATTTCTGAACCGAGCGACACAGCTCAGGCGCCACGCTTTAAATGAGGCTTGGCCTCTTTTTCTCATGGGGAGCTGCAGGGAGAGGAGCCAACAATGTGTTTTCACTTTAATGTATTTTCATAAGTCATCGACTTGGCTATTAAAGTTGATATTTTTTCCTCCAAAAAATTTCATCTTTTCCAGAAAAGAGCCACATTTGTTTTAAAATTTGTTCCCCCTTTGTCGTGTTTGCTTTTTCTTTTCTCTTCTTCTTCTTCTTTTTAGTTTTAAGGATTGGGGAATATAAACCGAGAGTTTTACCAATATGTCTATGATGCTTTTCATGCAGGGCCAAGTTTGTTTCAGGTATTTCGGGTTCCAGGTATTTCCACTCCTGGCAGTTACTGTCTCTTCTTAGCTTTAGCAAAAGACCTAAAAAAATAAAAAAGGGAGAGTAGCTACATTTATTGCATGGGCAACAGTGCATCACCTCCAAATTAACAACTTTTATTTATTTAGTCATTTATTTATTTTAAAAGGGTTGCAGCAATTTGCATTCGACTTTACTGACTGTACAGATTTTTATTTGATTGTATCACCCTTTTTTCCATTCCTCTAAGGTCGGAGTAGGTTCATTTAAGGAGAAGGGGTTACACACATTAAGTTTATGAAAAACATGCCCCAGGACTTGAGGCATCGAATTTCATTTTGACAATAAAAGGTTACTTGAATCAAAATGTGATTATTTCAAAACGGATCCTGCCTCTGATGTTCTGAGTAGAAGATCATGGAAAAATACAACTGTCATATTACTGGTGACACTCTTTTAAAATGTTCTTCCCCATTTTTCATATGTAAAATAAGTGTTTAAACAAAAGAGAACATGAAATCAATATCACTATCTATTTTTGAAACAAACAAAAAACACCAAACCCACTATTTTTCGACAGTTTTTTAAAACGTGTATTTTTCCCATTGATTTTTGTTTGTTGCTAACAGCTCTTAACACCATTTACCATGTTCTCGCACAACCTAGCAAACATTTATTCCAGATAACATGCATACAGATTTGTGCTAAGCCTTAAGTTTCCCACCTCAGTATGTGCATTTTTGCATTTACTGCCAGATCTTTTCTGGATATGTCACACCTGAACTTAATAAATGTCCATTTGATTTGATTTCTGCTCACTTTCAATTCATTCCAGGTACCTAAATGGTGCCAGCACATGAAGGGAAGGGTGTCAAACCGATCTGATTGGTGGAAAGAGGAGGGAAAGATGGATGAACTGGAATTGAGGAGAGGAGAGGATCGGCTGAGAACAGACAGCGAGGGAGGTAAAACCGAAAGCAGATGGCAGAGCTGGCACCTGTCGTCCAGTAAAATCTGTTTGGAGCTGTTTTCCACATGTCTTAAAAAGGGGGAAAAAAAACAAAAAAGCCCAGTCTTTGCGTGGCATGCCAAAAAAAAAGACACTCAGGTTTTAACCCTTTGTGACGTTGCCCTCCCCGTAGCTTTCTCAGCCATAATGGGACGCCCCCCTCCGAACAGGAGGAGATACAAAAAACCCTCTCAAATCCTTATATGCTGCCTCACCCCGGCCTTGTAAGCAAACACAGGGGGCATTCAGAACAGGAGAGAGTCTCATTTAAAGCCTTAATCTGCGGGCCACATGCTCAACAACAGCAGAGGAGCAAACGCGCACAACAGTGACAGACCCGGGGACACACTCTAACACACACACCCTGAGCTGCCAGGCCGGCCCGGGCTAAACATGGCATGTGTTTGGCAAGAGGGGCGCTCCGTTCCAGGTGGTTGCATAAATAAGTTGCAATCAGTTTAAACTCTCTTAGGTCACTCTCATCCACAAGACCCGTCTGGTGTGTTTTTTTTTATTTGTTGTCGTTGCACATCTTAGGCCATTCACAGCCAATCGCAGAGACTTTTACATGGTGGCCAAAGAAGGTAGTTTCAAAGAACGTCTCAGGCATTTTCCTCATATTAATCCGTAAAAAAAACTTTGTGCTGATGCTATATGAGTGAAAAATATAGACAGCAAATTCTGCCTCTTTGACATTTCTTCCAGTGTTTTCACTTTAGTTACCTGTTGTGTTATTTAAAATGATTTTACTCAAGAGGATGCGATCCACAGTTATATCGTCATAATATAATGTCAATACCTTTGGCTACAATAATCATGTAGGCAAAATATAATAAAATGTATATCTAATATGTATATGACAGCCCTAATGCAAAGTTTGAATATTTTACAAGATGACTGGTTCTTTATTCCAGGTTTGACAGATTGCCCATGTTGATACAAATATGCCATCTTCAAATTTCCTCCAAACAAGAATTGTCCAGTTATCATCTCTCTGCTCTCATTGGGTCCATTCGAATCTAAAGCATCACCAAAAAGATATGAGGAGACAGCATAATATAATAATTTACACTTTTAAACAAACTATTTTAACATTGTGCTGTTAAGCAAAACTGTGAACTGTGAATATCCCACTTTGAAAACTTGGATGACTGTCTGCCAGCAACCACCGTGAAATTAGACACAGCCTGTTTGAGATTTACAACACTTTGTAGACAAGGTTGTAAATGCAATGTTTTATCAACAGATAAACAGATATATACCATGATTAAAGTTGCTGTGACATTCATGAGGCTAACAAAACAAACCTTGCCTGTTTCTTTACTGAAATTCTTAAAATTATGATTTTTTCTCTTTATTTTGTCCATGTTTCACCTCCATTGGGCCATCGAAACGCATTGATTTTTCAAGTGTCGTTCATTTCTTCCATTTGTGGTAGCTAACTCGAATCTCCCTTTCATCTGTAAATCTATTCAAATGCCAAAACCCCAATCAATGGCTCAGACAAAAAAATCAGCCAACATGTTGTGCACCAGCAGTCCCTCTGTGATGACCAAAGAAGAGAGAGAAATCAAACCCATCTGGGTTTGATTGTGACTTGGAAAACAAAAACTTCAAAGATAATAAAGTCGGCAGACGAATTAGGCATATGTGAGTTAACATAATCAAAATGATCTGCCAATGGAACATTTCCTAAAAATAGCTAAAGTCACATTTTCAGTCCTCAGACACCAAGACGGATCCATAAAAACCACAGACTTGAAAACAAGGCACTAGATTTTGACTCTTTAAAAAAAAAAAAAAAA